CTCTCTCTCTCTCTCTCTCTCTCTCTCTCTCTCTCTCTCTCTCTCTCTCTCTCTCTCTCTCTCTCGCTCTCTCTCTCTCTCTCTCTCTCTCTCTGTGAGCGTGCGAGCAGGCAGGGTGGCAGGCGAATGGCAACAGCAAGAACTGTTGTCGTTTCAGATAAATGGCAGCAGTTATGTGAAACGGCAACAGATTTGCCGTGGCCCGGGCCTGAACCCACCGCCCCCCCTCACCCAGTGCTCACACAGTGCCCCCACCGAGTGGCACTGAATCAGGGCCGAAATTGCCCCGCGGGCCTTTTTTTTTATTTTTATTTTTTAACGTGAAAAGGCAAAAAAAAAAATGTTGCACCGAACTCGGCTGGTCAGTCGAGGCCGAACCCGGCCAATCTGGCTGACGGCCGAGGCCGCGGCCGACTAGACCCTCCCGGCCGCGGCTGGGCGTGCAACATAGCTGACAGATGGGGCAGTGCCGTCACGTATCTCTTTTGTGCCTTGATGATGAAATTTCGTGTGATGGGGTGGAGGGTGCCTGGTTTCCTTAACTGATGATCGTGGTTCTTTCATCTCAGCATTAATTGTTATCTGTTTCGGTGGATCCAGTGCTTGCATTTGTCCCTACTATACGGCGCCTATATAGATGACTGCTTCCGGGGTGATTCGAGTTGTCGCCATCTGTTTTTGACGGGGCGATGGTGACGGGGGTTGAGAAGTGGAGGGTCATGAGGGGTCTACTAGAGTGATGCTTTTTCTTTTGAAGATGGTGATTATTGAAAGAATGGCATAATTTGTCGACGCTATTGAAGGAGTTCCTCTCCTGATGGTGGTCCCTGGAGTAGTCTTTGACGAGTTATTGCAGATTTGCTTATGCATGGGGCGGTGCGGTCTCGTATTTCCTTCGTGGCTTAAGGGTGAGGTTTGGTGTGATGGGATGGAACGCGCCYGATGTCCTAACTGATGGATAATAGAGGTGGACTAGAGGTGAGCATATACAGACTATTGGAAAGGATGGTTGATGGTGACTTCCGTGCGCACGTGCTCAACAAACCGTTTCTGAAAGGGCTTGGACTAAGGAGTTTTTTTGTTGATGTTTTGGTTTCGCGACCTTCTGTAAAGCTTTCGGAGCATTTCGCTCGGATCGGGGAAATATTTTGATCCTCAGCTCAAAAATATGCATTGCAAACTTGAAATTTGTCTATCGGCAGGGGGTCGCTGATTGCTTAAGGGTAGATGCCTTGTCTTGATCCTATTACATCCCTCCTCCCTTTCTCCCTACCTCTTCCTCTTTTCCCATTCTCTCCCTCTCTCTCTCTTCCTCTCTATCTCATGCTTCCCTCGCCATCGAAATCCTGACTTCAGAGCCCCTTTGTATGTTTTTCATGAATGTCAGATCTGGAGAAGTATTGTGGGATAATGCATGACAACTGTATGCCACTGGGCTTTAAGAGCTTACGACATTCTTTTCTTTAAAAAGAGAGAGATTTTTCTCCCGCAAATGCTGACTTGAATTTCCTAGAAGTACGCTGTTGCCCCTTGGGAATAGTTCTCTGAGCCGAGCTTTGCAACCCGCCGCGTCGAACAAGGTGGGGGTTTAGTAACAAATATTACACACACACACACACATGCGTGGGTCCAACCCACTGTTTTTTTCTTTTTTTCTTTTTTCTTTTTTTTTATTGATTAATTGATTGATTCATTGATTCATTGGTGGGGAAGGAGTCGTGCTCCCCCCCCTCACGCGCACACACACACACATACTCACTCACAAATTACAAATAAATAAAAACACACACATACACATATAAATATATACAAAATATACACACTTTTTTATTAAAAAGATACAAAGAAGGATGGTAACCCCCCAAAAAAAATTACGCAAGCAAAAAAAAGCCCAGACGGCCAGCCCTCATCCCCGAACAAAGAAGTAAAAAACAAATACACCCCAATCCCACCCCTTCACCCGACGACCGCAACGCAAAACACTACCTTTCTCGCCAGTCAAACAAGTATCCTCCCTGCCCCACTCGAATAAATATCTTACTTTCTAAAATACAAACACGTCGTACTAAAGCAGAACATGACAAAGAGAACCCCAGCGCAATATAGAGCCTCTGGAAAACGACGAGCGAAGATAGTTCCAAGAAAACGAGAAACTTACAAAAAACACACAAACTAAAGGACACAGACTTTACCCAAAAGAAAATAAAAAACTAAACTACCCAGAAACACTGAAGTCGTTGCTTCAAAAAAAAACCCCGATTAACATGTTACCCCCCCAAAAAAATACACAAATTAAAAGAAAGTCCAGACGGCCAACCTCCTCGCCCAAAAAAAATGAACACCACCCACCCCCACCCCTTCACCTTACGGCCGCAACAACACTACCTTTCCGCTACTAGGGTTAGCACCTCTACCCCCACCCCTCCGCCTAGATACCCCCCCCAAAAAAAATCCCCACCAAAAAGAAAAACTCACAATCTGGAACACGAACGCTACAC